ATTTTGGCAGATACAGTCGAAGAACATGAACGTTGACTGTATAGCGTGCTTGTCAGACTCAAGTAAAAAGGTTTGATAGTGAACAAAGAAAAATGCGAACGCCGCATGATTCAGCTTAAATTTATGGAAATTCTCTTGACTGAGAAAGGCGTAGAACCGATTGAAGCGGATGTTGTTCCGGAAGTTGAATGACCACAATGCCTAGCAGAAGTTCGTAGTTTCCTTAGATTTATAAAATGCAATGGATGATTCATCAAGAACCTCGCAACAAAATCAGAAACGCTCAGAAAACTTACAAGGCAAAATGCGATATTCAAATGGAACGAAAAAGACGAAAAAACATTGACTTAAAAATGTAATCACAAAGGCAGAAACGATGGATTCTTTTGATCCGAAAAGAGACTTAGGCGCGCATTGCAGCTGACACCAGTTCAGTGAGATTAAGAATATTTCTGTTTTAGGTGCAATGCGGTGACAAAAGAATGATCTTGTACGCGAGCTGTATTCGAAAAGACACCGTTCATTCTTTCTGATAACATGAAAAGAAGCACTTTCACTTCTATAGCCTTGCTAACGATTTCACAAATATATGTCTGAGGTCGATTTCACCCTTGATACAAATTACTGTTCGCTACAGTTAATCTCCTCTAAAAGGTCGAAACCTTCGACAAGGATTGATAGATGAGGGCTGAAGTTGCAGCACGACACTTTCCGTGTAGATTGAAGGCCAATGGTTGCAAAACGTTGTTGATTCATGTTATCACGCCTTGTAAAGAAGGAAAGAGAAGAACAACATGACCGTAGCATAACTGAAGAATACGTTTACTATTCTGCCGACAGAGGTGGTCCAAAAGAAATGACTGTCCATGTGATTGAAGGGACGTCTTCAGTAGATGAGAATTCGACAACAGACCGATTGTTCCAACTCCCTATGCCAAACTCTGAGATAAAAACTTATCACTCATGCTAGACTGGTTTTTCGAATAGTGTAATTTTTTATGCCAAGACATATATGCAGATAGTGTAGCAGTTAACGGCTCGGAAGGAAAAATCGGCGTTACGAGTTCGAATTCTGACAGCGTTTGTGAGATTTCCTTTCACAAAAAATACTCTTGGAAAAAACTATGATTTTATTTCTTTTCCCCACCAGCCATGGGTTAAATAGCAAGGTAGAATTATTTCTCTAGCCGTGGCTAGAAAGCAGGCGAGGAGAAAGACAACTCTGTTTATTCAAAACCACTTGGTGTTCTAATTAAAATGTGAAATGGACTGTCGAACAGGCAAAAGCAAAGTTTTGTTCTGATCCACTCTCCTCTTTCTGTCTAGCGTATGTTTAAAAATATTAGTTTAAACTTCGTTAGAAGAGACTTGAAGCAATCTAGTTCTACAGAAGGATGTTGAGAATACCATGGACGGAATATGTGGGCAACGGCGAAGTTTTAATATGGAAACAAAAAGGTCATTTATACTTAACATCACGAAGAGACAGTTACGGTTTCTAGGAAACATAATGAGGAAAGAGGGACCGAAAAATCTGATACTCACAGGATAGATTGAAGGCAAGAGAGACGGGAAAATAATGCATAACAAACTTAGTTTAAGTAAGTGGATGGCGGAACAGAGTTTGGGAATAAACGAATACCAAAAAGTCTCAAGGAATGCATCGTGAACTTGTGCTTGTAGGTCACCAGGGAATAGTGAAAACTAAAGAAAGAACGACTGAAAAACACCGATTGGTAGTCTGGAATTAACAAAAACATGGAGTGACTTGTATATTCGTGTTATGAGTGCCAGTTCTTGATGCTTGGACTCAGAGCCAGAATAAAGTTTGGAATTGACCTCCATGGACCCTTTCCCAGTGTGGCAACTGAACTTGTGGTTTTAGAATACGACAGCCATTATTTCAAAATAGCCATCTTTAGTTCTACAAAAGCAGCATGTATTTTGAAACTTTGGTAAACATGTTCACGACTCACTGTCTACTTACGTCACTGAAATCAAACAATGGTCTATCCTATGTTGTGACCAAATTCGTGGATTTCATGAAAATGTATGACATTCAGTAAAAAAACATGACACCATTATGATTTGAGGTAAATAGGGAAATAGATCAGCAAAACAGAACGTTTTTAAAAGCAATCAAAATTGTTCAGACAGAAAACAGAAAGTTGAAGAAGTAAATGGGCAAGTAATCTGATTGCTTACCGAAGCACTCTTCACCAGACAACTAGCATTCTACCACCATAACTCATATTCAAGTTGAACCGGATTAAAGTATCTCTGGTTGCGGTTGTTGTTACTACTACTACTACTACTACTACTATTATTATTATTATTGCATCTTGCTTCAGCAGATAGTCACATTTTTGTTTTGGTTGATATTTAACAAGTCAAGTAGATTAGAACAAGTGGGAGTGATCAGTTTTTTTAAATGATTGTCAATTGATTTGTTTTTTGATTTATCAATCCTTTGTAAAGTCGAAATATATTTTGGATTGTAAGAATTTTTTTCGATTAAATATTGCATTGAATTATTTTTAAGATAACAATTATGTTTCCAGATACAAGTCCTACATCTTAACCCATAGCTGTGGGTAGGCTATAGATTCATACATTTCTCAAGGGTATTTGCGCATAAGAAACCCTACTGGAATTCGAACTTAGCTCTCTGATTTCTCATTCAAAGCCACTATCCATTACACCATCTGTACATCCACTCAGCATTTTCATAGAACATGTTTAATATTCCTTTCAACACATTCACATGAATGAAGGATCTGGATCCAACTCGACCATATTGTGTCTTGTACTTAAAAAATCCTGCTTTAGCTTTGTTGAAAGTGCTTCACTCGTGTCTGGCAATTAATGCTTCTTCTGCCAGCCTTTCTATGTCTTGTACTGCATTGGATGATGAGGTTCTTGTCTCCATTCTTTTCCATCATTCAATTTATCTTTAGGTGTGGATGTAATGGGTGAATTCCATTTGTTAATTCTTCCACTGTAGCAATGCGATAAAATTCCCAAAGAAACGGCCAAGCAGTACACAGAAGAAGAACGACATGCAAAAGAGACAAATTGCTAGTGATGAAGTAAATCTGCAGCAAAAGAAATGGCATAAATTAAGAAACGCTTTCAAACAGGAACCGCATAAAGATATTGAGAAGTTAGGTTCACAAGTGCTCATCTTCTGCTGGTATCCAATATGAGAGAAGTGTGACACATATGCAAAGAGTGCATTCTCGCAGAACACGTTGAAGAAGTCTCAGTGTAAGAACTGAACTTAGAAAAGATAGACACATTAAAACAAACCAATTAAACAGACATTTTAGCACAATAATACTAGTAATCAAACTATGAAAAAATGTGTGAAAAACTTTTGAATTAAGTTGGGCATTATGTGTAAAAACAAACCTGTGAAGATGTCACAGACAAAAATTAGATATTATACATAATACTATAACTTTTCATTTGATTATGCAGAGTTTTTTGTGAAATCTTTTAACTGAATTTTGGAGATGAGCAATTATTGTTATTATGCACTGCTTACTCAGTATCTGTCTATATTTCTGAGATGAGTTATTATATACACTATTTACATTATTCGGACTATTGTCCTCATCTTTGTCACAACATTTTGGCCAATGTATGCTCTGGCCTTCTTAAGGAAAAATGTCACAATGAATAAAGGCATTGGTTAGATCCACTGACAGGACCGAAAAGATTTGTGGGTTCAATACCTGGTTAAGCCAGTGGAGAACTTTGAAAGGGGAATTAACAGGAGATAACTGATAACTGACATCCATTAGACATGGCACATGGAACTAGAACAGTCTACCCCAGCGAGCAAAATAAACGGTTCAGTTCGACATTCCAACAACCTGAAGAAGGCTGGAGTATACATCGACCAAAACGTTGTGATAAATATGGCAACAAAGATGAGGACAATAGTCTAAATAATGTAAGTAGTGTACACTGCTTACTCAGATTTATATCCTTATCTTGATTATTAGACTCACAAAATTTAGGACATTTTAGCCTCCAGCTTTCTTCAGGTGTCTGCTGTAGTTGGTAAACTTCCAGGAATTTCAAACTGAATCCTCTAATTATTGGTGATAGATTAATTTTATTCTACAAAGCGTATCACATATTAGTTAATTCTTAATTGCAACTTCTCTTATCTTTTACACCTTTGTTCTATCTAATGCAAGGATTTAATTTCCAGATAACTTGATAGGTTTAAGCAATGCTTTTACCCACAAGAACATTTAGTGACGGAAACTTGGATCTTTAAACCTAATATACTGTCTGCTTCTTTAACTGAATCAGAATAGATAACTTTACACTACATAGATGATGGAATGTTTTTGTTTGAGGCCTATGCTCTTCTCATGTTTATTTCTTGGCTAAGCCCACTGATGAGGTCATTAGAGCGTAACACAGGCACTAGTATTCTCACTCAGCTTATCTCTCCAGGCTGTTTTCTATTATTTTGATGAACTTCCACAGGGTTTGTGACCATCCTACCAACTTTTCTTTCTATATATGATCAGCCATAACTGATTTCATCATTCCCACCCCACCAGATTACAAATTTCTTCAGTCTCACATTAAGGAAGCAATCAGTATCTCCTTTATATTCTTAGATGGTTACTATATACAAATGTCTTAAATCTATATGTGCACATTAATAGTACATTCATAAAGGCCAGTTGATCCTTTTTTGCCATTATGAAATATATTGAAGGCCTTATTTAGTTCAAATCAGGGCAGTATTTATATATATATATATATATATATATATATATATATATATATATATATATATATATATATATATATATATTTCTGTGTATGGATATAAATTATGTCAAACCTTGTTAAGATTCTTGGACAAGATCCTCAATATACTCAGGTCAGTTATATTCTTGTCCTAAGAGGACAGCAATTCTCTAGAACTAGAGTAGTCATTTAATGAAAGGGAGAAAACTTCAAAGACTAATATGCTAGGACCATACTGCCACTATCTCATGTCACTGGGTCATGATATGTAAGCCTTTAATTTAAATGTACATGCCACACCCCAACGTTAAAGTTTCTATATCTGTCTAGATTTCTCAGATGAGGTATTGTAATTATTTACACTATTTACATTGTTCAGACTGTTGTCCTCATCTTTGTTGGCATATTCACAAGGTTTCGGCCATTGGACACTCCAGCCTTCTTCAGGTGATTGGAATTTTAAACTGAACCCTTTAAATCTTCTCTATTACAAACTTGAGAGATTTTCTATGCATCTCTTTTAAAAGTTGTGGAAGAACTTGGGGTAGCAGGGGAAAACCCTTCTTTTAATTTTAAATTTTACTATTCATGGCAAACATTGGCAAGAGAATTTGGTGGTAAACAGTGATTTAATTTATTGTAAATGGATTCCAGAATAAATACCAAAACGACAAAGTGGAGTTGTAAAGGAACAAAGAAGTTGTGGAGAGTCATGATCATCAGTGCCCTGAAGGAACATGGCACATAGGGAAAGAAAATAAGCCACTGAAATAAGATTTTTAAAATTTGATGACATGAAGAGATTTTAGTATTTTATCTTGTAATGAAAATTGTAGGTTATGACATTTGCTAAATCAAGTGCAGAAACTTATTTGCCCACCAACCGGATGACCAGTGACTTGAAATATATTTCAAAATTGAATCTTGTATTTGTGCTTTATATGTTTGAGTAAAAGCAGTGTATATAGTCGTAGGTGAGTGCATAGCAAAAAAGTCTCTGCAAACTTTTTTTTTTTAAATATATCATAGAAATCAAAGGTATTTCAAATATTTGCATTTCATTTCATTGAAAAGATGCCCATATTTCAAATGTCTACAGGGAATATATACAAGAATGTTCTTGAGAATTTAATTTGTCAAATCAATGAAAAATATATATAAAATTTTATACAAAAATATTAATTGATACATTTAAGATTCATATTTATGTTCAAAATTTCTGGATTACTTAAAATTGAAGTTTTAAATTAAAGATTAAAAAGTAAGCCAGATTATTAAACTAAAAATGCCTAACATTTACAATCCCTCTCCCTAGCTTGGATGTGTGGGTGGTGTAGTGGATAGTGAATCAGAATTATTAATCAGATGGCCAAGTTTCAATTCCCGTTAAGTTTGTGATATTCATTTATACACAAATACACTTGGGAAAGGTATGAGTCCACCTCTTTTCCCCCTCCCCACCAGCCTTGAATTAATTAGTAAGACTTTTATTACTAAAGCCATGTAAAATTCTTACAATCTAAAAGTATTTTTTGGCTTTAAATAACTTTTTAATAAGCCATAGAAAATGAATGAATCACTCAATTTAGTAGAGATACATTTTTATGTTTCCTTGTATTGCAATCTGTTTACATTTGGAGAAGATTTATTTGGGGTCATTTTTTTTACAATGATGTTTACCCTGTATAAAGCCATGAGCCACTCGAGGTAGAGGGTTACAGAGTAAGAGGCACAGTTTATACTGATATGTGTGGAAGATAACAGTTAACCTGAGACTCAAACAGTCTAAGATTGTAGTGATCAGGAAAACATCCTCTTGGAAAGCTGCTTGTGAAAAGTAGCTAAAGTAGAATTTACATCTCACCCCAATGGAATACAAAGGGGAATGAGGGTGGTTCTCTATAAAGTATGTGGCATGGCAAGTCTTAGTCGGGAAGGTTAGAACTGGTGGAACTAAGGAATGTAGTTTGTCTGAACACTTTCTATAGAAATAGTGAGAAAGCATTGAGAGACTTGCAATCTTTCATTTGTGAGAAAGGAGTTGTGGGGTGAAAAAATAGTACCAAATTAAAAGCACTTCAAAAAATAATAAAATGATGTTTCAACCCCCTCATTCATATATATGTAAATTTGTGCACATCTCAAAAATTTATAATATTTTAGAAATGATCGATATATTTTGTGAGTTTTTTTACAAAGTGAAAATTGTATATATTCTAGACTCATTACAAGTAAACTAAAATGTTTCAAGCATTCTTAATTTAATTTTTGTAACTGTATACTAAATCTCAAAAAATGGAAAAAGTAAATAATAAAAAATAAAAAATCTCAAAATATTCCATTTTAAGTTTGTGCATATAACTATTTCTGCCATATAAATACTATGAATCACTCAGTCTAGTTTAGTACATGTGACCACAATCATGGGTCTTACTTCTGATTTGACAGTTATCCAGGTTTTCACTGTCACTCTTCTTTTAAAGGCTAAGCCACAAGGTCATTGCTGAAAGGGCTGACTGTTTATAGAATGCTGGATATTATATCGATTGAAAGTTGACTGGAAAAGGTGTGGTAGAAAAATTTCACAAACAAAGGAATACCGACTACCTTGAGAGAACTGTCAAACAAACCTGATACAAGAACTTAGGAGAGCCTCACAAAATACAAACTGAGTCTAGAGTCCGTGCTTCAAGAGCTTCCGTGCAAGATATATCTGGGAAATGGGATAAAAGTATCACATGGCTAATATCAAGTAACTCCTGAAACAGAGACAATGTCTGGAACATCTTAGCTACATAAAGAAGAAAAAGAACCAGACTGTTTCTCACTGGCTAAATGTCTTCCTTTCAGATGAACACAAATTTGCAAAATTTAAGTCTAAAAGACTAGAAAAGAGGTAACTTGCAGCCCAGTGTTAAGTTTTCAAAGTTTATTTTCATTATTTGCAGTGTCATTTCACTTGCTGGTGTTGGTTGACTATGTTCTATCAAGTCCAAAATCAATACAGCCATCTTCCAGCAGATTTTACAGCACTTTAATGCTTGTATCTGCAGACAAACTTTATGGAAAGAGTTTGATTTCCTTTTCCAGCAGGATGTGGTACCTGTCTCCAATGCCAAAACTATAAGTAACTGATTTGCTGAAACATAGTATTATTATGCTTGACTATCCAGACAAATATGAACCCCATAGAGAGTTTATGGGTTATTGTCAAGAGATGAGACACTGGGCCCAACAATACAGATGGGTTGAAAGCTGACATCAAAGCAACATGGTCTTCTATAATATCTCAGTAATGTCACAAGCTGATTGCTTTGATGTTATCACACACTCTGATGCAGTAATTTCTGAAAAAGGAACCCCAGCCAAGTACATAAATTAACATGTTTTTAAAGAAGTACAAATTTTTTATATTGTAAACTCTATATGCTTATTGATCTTATGAAATATTCTATTTTGAGATGTTGTATTTTTGATTTTGATGAGCTGTGAACTGTAATCATCAAAATTAGGATAAGAAAAAGGCTTTAAATATTTCATTTTATGTGTAACTAGCAGCATGGCCCAGCGTTGCCCGTGCTTGATTCAAAAATCGTACGACTCATACAGCAATCGCTATCACTTGACTTAAAATATTTTTGCCCTTCCTTGCCTTTAAAGGAGTGCCCTTTGCTGTGCTGATGTTGCTACATGCCTTACTTCTTGCCTATCTTGCACTGCAAATTTCGTCTATGCTCTATACTAAACATTAAATCTGTTACGGAAAAAGAACTAAACAAAATAAACACAAAACAATCAGCTTTAAAAAAGGACTATGTGGATAGGTAGGTCAGTAGGTATTTTATTTTCCATTCATGTTTTTTACTGTTCATAAGAATAAGCATTATTTACATTATTCCGACTATTGTCCTCATCTTTGTTGCCATATTTATCACAATGTTTCAGCCATTGTACACTCCGGCCTTCTTCAGGTGGTTTGAATGTTGAACCGAACCCTTTATTTCGGTCACTGGGGTAGACTGTTCTAGTTCTATGTGCCATGTTTCATGGATGTTAGTTATCAGTTATCTCCTGTTAATTCACCTCTCCAAGTTCTCCACTGCCTTAACTAGGTATTGAACTCACACTGTCATCGGATCTAACCAACACCTTTATCCACTGTGCCATGTGTCCTTAAGTTTACCCCAGTCTGAATAATGTAAATAGTGTACATAATACCTCATCTCAGAAATATAGACAGATAATGAAATGCCGAAACGTTGTAATAAATATGGCGACAAAGATGAGGACAATAGTCCGAATAATGTAAATAGTGTACATAATACCTCATCTCAGAAATATAGACAGATAAGAATAAGCATGTTTATGCATTCTTTTTCATATGATTAACTTCATTTATATCACAAATATCACAGTGTAATGTTATGATTAAACAGACTAATGAGAACACAAGAGCAAATCACTTGTATATAGAATTATTTGTCTATATTTCTAAAATGGAGTATTGCATGCTTATATTCTCATTCAGTTGTCCTACATATGGGACAACTGGATAGGTCACCCACCTTTTTGAATTTTGGGAACAGTCACTGACACTATTTAGCAACTGCCACATGCAGTCAGGTGTGGCACAAGGCCGAATTTAAAGTGGGGTTCCTGAGCCCGTAGGCCCAGCCAAAAAATCCCCGTATACCCCGTATAAATGGGATCGGGTCTACCTCCCCGGATGAAACTCTGCCCTTCGGCATAGCCTCGTCCATGTTCCTCTCTGCCCGAAGACAGAGAGTTCGATTAGCGCTGCTGGGAAAGGTCCCAGCACGAATCTAAACATGCAACAGTCAATGACATTTACTGAAGGTGCAACATGGTGGCTATGGAGGTACATTCTAAGTCAATTCACTGATCTAGCTTCTCTGATGCTCTGGTTTAACACTGAGTGCAAAATCTATTTTTGTATCAAATGGAGTAAGCCTTATAAATATTAGGGTCACCACAGTTCATGACTTCTTTAGAACAAAGAGTCCTTATTGACACTAAATTCAATTCAAACCATTTGGTATTTCCTGGTGTGAATCATGTACTAGAACAGATTTGGTGTAATATATTTTAGCAATATTACTATCTGAATAGATCACCATTAAAATTTGAAACAAAAGTGGAATTTTTTTAAATGGCTTTGTCTTGTTTATGTTAATAATATTAACTTATATTTTATCCTCTTGTTGTAATGTACAACAAACATTCTTATAAATGTAAGGTCATGGTATATGTATATGCTTATCTAGATGCATATTAACTTAATCCTACTGTCATCATAATGTGGGTGGGGAGCTTACGACCACATCATTTTGAAACATCAGTTCCCAGATGATCACCTGTTGAAGCTTGAATAAGCATGGAATAATAATAATACAACACAAAATGTACGTAACAAAATGTATTGAAACAATGAAAAAAGGTACACAATATTTACAGGTAGTTTTGGTATATTCTTGGGAAGACTGTTCCTGCAGAATGGGTTGACTAAGTCGCAGTCGGGCAGAGTCTCTGGATTCGATCTCTTAATCTTCCGTCGTCTTCCGGTACCAACCCATATTTATATGGTCGGTACTCCACTTATGTAAATTAGGTGTATCATACACAACATCACCAAAGTTAAGCAACATTGACCCTCATCAGTACCTAGATGAGTAACCACTTAGAAATGCCAGGTGCTGTAAGCTTGGATGTGCAAGTGGTATAATGGGTAATGGCTCAGAATTTTAAATTGGAAAGCCAAGTTCCAATTCCTGTTGAGATCATTATATTCACTTATGTGCAAATACATTTGAGAAAGGTATGAATTCATCTCTTCCCGCCCCAGGTATCGGTTAATTAGTAAGGCTTGTATCACTAAACCATTATTGTCTTCCTGACTAAATTCTTCCAATTAAAAATATTTTATGGCTTTAAATAACCTGCAAGCCATAGAAAACAAATCAATCATAATGTAGGAATTATCTAAAATTATTAAAGAAAGAAATTTGCAAAACAAAAGCATCATACTACAATAAAAAAAACAAACTTTGCTGCAAACCTTCTGTTGAGATATTAAATATATAAGTTGGATATAATAACTGTGACTCCCACTGCTAGCAATCCTTTGCATATGCTATAGTTATGTAAAAAACAAAAAAGAATTATCAAATCACAAAAACAATACCCAACATAAATAATTTTCCTTCATCTTTATATATCTATATATATATACTATTTTCTGAGTATTAAATATCTTAAATTTAACATTCTTAAATATATACTGACCATTTATGTGACTGAACATTCATTGTTTCAAATTGACAGTCACAACCTTTTCACTTTTGACCTGGTCATATAAAAGCTATAATGAGGTTTAATATGTCTGTTATATATTATAGAATCCGATTGAGATAAAACAAGATAGAATCAAATATTGGTGATGTTGAAACCTACAAAGGTACGATTTAGAAGAACTATACAGACTCACTAAGAATTAAGGGTAGAGTAAAGCAAAAACCTATAATGGTAATTAAATTTTTAATCACAATATAACAACATTCTGAAAGTCTTTAATGACTCTTGTAAAGTATTTTAGTTTAGGCAAAGTATTTTTGTTTGTTTTAGTGTATTTTTTTTCAACACCTGGTTAATCCAACAGTGTTGTTATGACCAAGTTAATGTCTCGCTTGAGACATGGTGCTGTTTAAACTCAATCTAGTGTTTGGCAAACAACAAAATTTCAGGTGTTTTGCCTTTTCGTCTTTTTTATTACGTCTAATTAGAAAAAGAACTGAAACCTTTGTGCTTTTTTCAAACTAGTTTTTCTTGAATTCATTTCCATTTCTCTTTTTGTTCTTTTCTTCATTTTCTCTTTTCTCCTTTCTTTCAAAATTGTTTTTAATTTAATTTGTTATGCTGTTATAGTTTTCTTCACATTTCTCTTTCATTTCATATTTTCATTAAACTCTTCTCTGCATTTTTCTTTTCTTTGTGCAGGCATTTTTCATATTTTATAAATCCTTTCCTACCTTTACTGTGTCTTCATACATTCATTTTTTTGTGTTCTTTTCCTTTTTATTCACTTTTTTACCTTTCTTTCTTTTCTTCTTGTTCACTTTTTTTGCCTTCTTTCTTTCCTTTTTGCTCACTTTTTATGCCTTTTTATTTTCCTTTGTTCTCACTTTTTTCACTGCCTTTCTTTTCCTTTTTGTTTACTTTTTGCTTTCTTTCTTTTTCTTCACTTTTTGCTTTCTTTCTTTTTTCTCTTGTTCACTTTTTGCATTCTTTCTTTACCTTTTCATTCACTTTTTATACCTGTTTTCTTTTCCTTTTTGTTCATTTTTTCTTTCTTTCTTTTCATCTTTGTTCATTTTTTACCTTCTTTCTTTCTTTTTTGGTCACTTTTTTTTTGCCTTTTTTTTCCTTTGACATTTTTTCTCAACCTTTTCCTATTTTTTCTCCATATGCAGTTTATTATCTTTCTACTTGCTTTATTCTACTGTTCCTTCAATGTGATCATCATTCTTCTTAGCAAGAGAAATTTCTTCTCATTCAGTGATTTCTTTTCTTTTGCCTTTCTCTCATCTTTTTCTCTTCTCCTTTTATATCATTCTTTGTTGTCGCTTGAAACTTTCTCATTTCTTTTGCATTTTCTTTTGTCTGCATCAGTTCCTTTACACAATTCTTCCCTCTTGGCAACCGAATCTTATTGGCATCTGGCCTAATGTCTTATGGCTTATCACTAAATGAAATTATCCATAAAGTTTCTCTGTTCATAAAGTTTCTCTAATCCTCTTTTGCATACTAATCTATAGGCCAAAATTGAATCTTCAAAAGAACAAAAGATTTTTAGGTCTGCTTGAAGGTAGTGACCACCACTTGAACATTTTGAAGGCAAGATACTTGACCTGTGTATGAATAGCTGCAGCCCCTCTGATTCATATCAAAGACAACTTTTCTAGATGTGTTTTTCTTGGAATTAGATGATAGTCTTATGATTACTTACAAGTTTTCTTAGATCCTGTGAGACTCCAGCTGAAGAGTTTCATAAACATGCTCTTCAAGTCTCAACCTGTTAATGCGTACATATTATTTACTTCAGTAACTGTTCATAACATATTATTCACATACATATTATTTACATCAGTAACTGTTCATAGTGGAGAAGGCAATGAGAAACCATTCTAGTATCTCTCTGGAGAAGGCATAGCAATTCACAGCTAATAAAGAAAAAGAATGTTAAGAGACAGAATCACAGACACGCCCTGAACGAACATGGCATTAAAAAAGATTTTAATTTTTCTCATTTCTATTTTTTAGATCCTTTAAATACATTTAAACTGAGTTTAATTTATATTATAACCAAGACAAAAAAGCTTTAGATGAATATATTCTTCCTTTTTTCATCTTTAAAAGAAACACTACAATACTCTTTGTTTTTGTTATTGTTTCGAGTAAAAATTATTTAAAAAAAGGATTTTATAATAAATAATAGTTAAAATAACAATGGAAAATATCTCTTCTATCTTTCATTGAATTTGTCTACTTTCAGTTTTCGGTTTGACTGTGAAATCACAATCAGTAAAAGTTCTATTTCTTTTTTTGCCTAATTATTCATCCCATACCAAGTTCAAGGGCCACTCAAGGTAGTGGGTTACTGTGCATTGTTGTATGAGCAAAAGTAAAGTGCAGTTCATGAGGTTATGCCGGAAAAATAGCATTTAACCCTAGACATAAAGAGGTCAAGATAGTAGTAATCAGTGAAAAAATCCTTTTGGAAGACTGTTTCACACAACATCAATTTTCAGGAAGAAGCTGTCCAAATGGAACTTAACACAAAAGGAATGTTAAGAAAACTGGTAATGACGTTCGATGTTATAAAGATCCATTCAGTGAAGAGTAAATTATTGCCACTCACGTTGTAGCAAACCACCCTCATTCCCTCTATTGTCCATTGGTGAGAAGTAACTTCCATTTAAGCAGCTTCTTCTCATGAATCACTGTTCTGGGGAACCAACTCCAAAGAGGATGTTTCCACAATCACTATAATCTTAACCTGTTCGAGATTAACATTATTTTCCCCACCTATCCACATAAACTGTGCCTCTTACTTTGTAACCCTCTATAATAAGTGGCTCATAGGCCTTATACAGGCTGAACCTTACGGTAAAAAGAAGAAAATGCAAAAAAAAAAGCACACAGATTTTTTTAATTTTATTTATCATTCTTTTATGATGTCAACAAACATTCATTTGACATTTTTGTGATGCCAATGAATACTTGTCATTTTCATAATGCTCATTGTAGTAGAGATTTTGTAATTGCTAATACAACTTATAGTATGCCGTTGAACAATGCTGGCATCAAATGCCTTTGAATAGCACTCGCACTAATAGTACTTGCTTGATAATACTTGCTCAAATAGTAATCCATATAGTGATCCGAATAGAGAAATAGTGTAGTGAATAGAGTAGAGAATAGCAGTCCATATAGTAATAGAGAATAGACCCGAATATGATCTGAATAGTAATAGAGGATAGACTAGAAATGCAGATCTGTATAGTATAGAGGATAGACTAGAAATGGTGATCAATTAGGCAATGAACACTACCTTCCATATATGCATTTCCTCTATTGTCACATGGTCTACTTAATTCAACAATGGGATCACCTGTATTTACCCAGTGGCAATCTATGTTCAAACTCAAGTGTCAGCAGCGACATTTTATTCCTATATAACACATTCTAACTCATAAAATAATATTTTAGTTATTTCCATCATTTTAAAATCTATACAAATCTACTGATATTTACATCTGTATATTATCAGTTGGATCTAAAAATAAGTATATATGAGGAAGATATGATGATTTTCTAAGCATAACTTAGATGTGGCACAAAGTTGAAAGTATGGAGCACCCAGTGAGGATCGAACTCACAACTCTGTCATAATTGTTCTAGCAAAACAAGCTTGCTAATGCCTACACCATGCTGGGGGGTCCCCTCTGTTAGAAAATATATGTCTCAATGAAATATTAAGTATTCTAAATTAAGCACCTGCTCGACTTTAAAAAAAATTTAAAGTCATTAAAAACAAATATTCTCTGGTAGATTTTTATATTTTACAAGTAAAGCTTAACTTTTTATTTCTAAAATTTAATGTAATTAAAAGGTCTGCACTTAGATTAGACTTTTACTTTCTCAAACTATCAATACTGACACAAACCTGGCAAGTACGTGTGAAAAGGATTGATATGCTCTTATTTAATGAACATGAGAAAAATAGAACATTGGAGTTACAAGATTTGATATTATTTGTAGGCAGGATGAGTGTGACTACTGAATTTATTCTGACCATAACCATCCCCATGGGGACTTTTTCATGAATAAACAAGAGAAAAATATTACTATTACTAACACAAGCACAGTATATCAGAAATAATTTATAGTGAATTAACTTGCACCACTCTCAAAGAGAATTTTCATCAGTGACCATCCTGATGTCATTAGTTATCAACTCACTATCTATGCTGATGACACAACTATTTACTTCTCTCTTAATGGTAGGTCTGATTGGTTCGATAAGGTCAGATTGGCAGCTGATCTAAAAAATGACCTACAATCTTTTGTTAATTTTAATACCTCTAAAATGAAACTGCTCTCTTTTCATTGTCTGAGAGAACAGTTTTCACTTTCCATTAGCATAGCTGATGCTAACCTCTAGGAGAGTCACTCCTTGTGTTTTCTCAGCCTAATGTTATTGGCTTTTATAAAGTGGAAAGATTATATTGAATCAAATGTTAGGTTAGCTGCTAAGAAAGTTGGATTACTGTGCTATGCTAGAGAATTCTTCTTGGAAGAATCTGTCTTGCATATTTATAAGTCTACCATTCATGCATGTTTTGAATAATGGTGCTTGGGTACTTCCGCTTTATATTTATAGATTCTTGATAAAATACAAAGAATAATCTGAACAGTTATTAATCTTGACCTGGTATCTCGACTTCAGTCAACTTCCCACACGCCATAATGTAGCTTCCTTCTGCCTTTTCTATAAATATTTCCATGGTAACTGTTCTACTGAACTTTCCTTTATAGCACCTAGACTTTATGAATTTAAATACAACACTAGATTGGTGGTAATGTTTCATCCATTTACTGTTGAAATGGATAGATGTAAGTTCTATGTTAACAGTTTCTTTTCTCGCATTTCTCAGTTGTAGAACTCTCTTCCAGCTTTTTTACTTTCTAGTGAATTTTGATCTTCAAAAGTTTAAATCCAATTTCAATCAATATCTTCTGTCTTCTTAATTTCTGTTCTTTTATTGTTCTCTTTCCTTAATAATGTTTTCTTTTTTCATATTCACTTGCATCTTTATTGTCTTGCTTTGGGGTGAAATGGCAAAAAAGGAAAAAAAAAAAACATATCACAAGCAAACTTTTTCCAACAGTCATACATTTTCCCAAATATTGTTCTTGATATATAAAAATATATATCACTATCTCACACATATATATATATATATATATATATATACACATATGTCTCTGTACATATGAATGGACACAGAGGAGAATTCCCCCCTCCCATCAACACCAAACATAATCAAAAACTGACATAAATAAAATCAAATTTTAAAAATAAATCATTTGTTTGAGGATCACATAAGTGTGAAATCAATGGTCACAAACTCATATGAATTCAATATATATATATGTGTGTGCATGTGTGTGTGATTACATATGATTACCTGAATAAAGATTTAGGGCCAAACAATTATGGACATTCTTATTCCATAATATAACTCCATATCTTTCATAAAATAGTAAAAAAAAGGAGTTTTTTTTTTTTAACAAATTAGTCATATTTGTTTTTCCTTTCTCCATTAAACTTACCTTTCTTCTTTTTAAACATTTACTATTGATCTGAAAAGAAAATCCTACCAAAAGTAATAAAGATTAGAACACCTGCTTTAACCTCTGTTCTGTTAGTTGCTCTTAGTCAAAAGAAATTGATATTTTCACCTTTTTCTGAAAATCACTTATTTTCTGTGATGTTTTGTATATGACAGAAAATTTATAAAGGCCAAGGGAAAGAATGTAAGTGCTATTTTATAGAAATTGTTTATTTGTTCCTATAATGATAATCCCATAGCCAAAAAAAAAAAAGAAAAGAAAAGAATTTGTGCTTGGTTTTGAACATCAAACAAATTATTCAGGCTCACTGTTTCCAAGTATTTTTTCAGTTATCTGAACAGTCTTTCACAACTGACTTATTGAAGACATGTTCATTTTTGGCCATTTTTCCCATAAAGAAAACCAGCATGCCATGCAACCTAATCTGTTTTGCAACACCCTCTACCATTGTCAACTTTTAATATTCTCCAAGCACTGTGCAATAATTTTATTGTAATGACTACGCTGGTTCCAATCATCAAAAATCAACAACATTCTGCTGGGGAAAAATAGCCATATTTAAAAGAAATGCTAAGAGCAAGGGACAGGTAACTGAAATAGGCAAGCACTTTAATTTGTTTTCTGCAGAGCCAAGGAATTCTATAAGTGAGAAATGAGTGCCAACTTGTATATGATTTATCTCAGGTAAATGAGAAATGAGAAACTGACTTCAAGCAAAAGCATTAGCCCCCTACTAGATAAGAGTTATATGTTCATGCAAATAAGATGAAAAATATATTTCTATATTACAAGAAATGGTCCTAAATTG